GTCTAATATATTTCTATATCTAATATTTTCAATAATAGGCGTTCCTCATATTTACAATTAATTAATTAATTATGTATTATATTTATTTTAAGGTTAAACCAATGACTTTGATATATGACTAATTGGTTTCAATTGACATATGTTCATATACAATAATAATACAATTAATCTTCAATCATATTTATATATCAAAATAATTAAAAATGGATTACAAATAATAATTCAATATACTAACACCTAGAAGATCTTGCATCTACCTTTTATCTACTTTGCTGGGCTTTTTTCTATCCATGAACTATTAGAAAGAACATAATGAGCATAACCAACTTAGTAGACTTCAGTTCCTGACTCATAACAGATATCAATATCCAAATTAAGATCATTATATTGCAATATGATTAAAAAATAGTAAAAAATAATAGAAGTACTAGTAAAGCATATTTTTTAAGGTTTCAGTATATACTTGTAAAAGACACTTTCACAAATGTTCCGTATACATCACATAACACTTCTTATCAAGGGTTCACTTGTACTTGGTGTTCATATTTCATTATGATTCATGAAAAAATTTAGAATTCCTAACATTCATTTCAAAATATTACTTATACTTAATTCATTAATACATATTCAATGCAATGATTATAATGCAAATGTCCAGATGTCTGTTTGTAACTCAATTTCAACTTATGCCTATTTTTAACATCCCACTCCCGCTTGTAATAAGTGAGGCCAAAATCATAACAGAATAATATCACATAATCTCTAACACCTGGTTTCAACAAGTGAGGCCAAAATCTCTCCTACATCCACTCTAGGAAGATAGGGCAAAAATAAAATATATATCAGAGAGTGCAATTTTTCATATATCAAAATATGTTCAATGCCATGCTATGAATAGTGCAAATGTAAATGCAATATAACTTAAATTACGAACTAAATATAGTACTAAGAAAATACATGAAGTGAAGTAAAAGTCACATTACATGTATAACATTATACCCACTGAACTTTTTCTATTCAATTTCATACTTTAGAGGGATATTCACATGAACATTTTAAGAATTGTATATAATTATTTTAATTGCCATAAAAGCCTCATTCAAATCATATATTCAGATATTTGTGTATGAAAAATCAACATGGGAAAATTTGATTTCTTATTACTAAAATTTTCAGAGTAAAGCATACAACAACATATGAAAAGTTACAGATTAAAAATATCATAAAATTTGAGAAAATTTTTATAAAACAACTGAAATTGAAATAAAAAACAGGAGTTCAAAAATCAGCCTTGTGTTTTACAAAATTCTTAACTAGTCCAACGGACGAAACCCGAGCTTTGGCTGCCAAAAACCCTCTCTTCCTTTCTCTCTCCTCTTTTCCCTTCTCCTTCTCTTCTCTTTTCTGGCAAGATGGATGAGGGTGGCAAATGGTTTGAGATATTTTTAATTATATAAAAATCACTAATTTGATAAAGCACCATGGTGCTAGCCTCCTTAGTGCTGTAGTGTTGAACCGAATCTTCAAGATTCCTTAAAATATTTTCAAACAAAGAGCACGACACATTCAAATTCATTTTCCTACTGGAGAGCTCAACGTCACGACGTTGCTTGCTCACCCGCGATGCTCCCATAAAAATTTTCATGAATTGAAATTCATAGCTCTAGACCACTTCCTCAATAAGGAAATACTCGCTAAACATTTTGGGACCCATAATTACTAATCAAATTTAATATTAAGTAGACATTAATAGTAATTATATGCATTCTGAATGGTCGTTATCACATATATTAACACATAGTAAAATATATATAAATGATAGAGAATGAATTTATGGTGAAAATTGGGAGAGCCTTTGGTAATTGGAGTTTTCTTTAAGAAATCATTTGCAATTTAATAGCTCGTTCTTCTTTTTAGGAGATAGCGTGCATTGACCTCATAAGTGATAACATATATTGATGGGTGCATTAGGCTGTGTGTCAATGAAGGACATTCACCTTATGATCAACGAGCATTGAGCTTTGTGTCAATGACGTGCATCAATGACATGAGGCAACGTTATTGGTGATGGTAGGTGACGGTTAAAAGACAATTGCTATGTAGAGCTCTAAAAACCTGTCAGCTCTCTCCTCTTTCACCCCAGTCCAATTGTCCTTTACACAGAGAATGTGATTTATTTCTATTTTTTTATAGTGAAACTTTAATAATTCCAACAAAAAAACCCCTCAAAACACTCTATTGGAAGGTTGTAAGTGATCCCTAAATCAACATCCATCCTTTCAAAATTGAAATACCTTAATGATTTTGAAATGAAATGATCATAGGCTCATTGAATTTTTCTAATTAACACAGTCAATTTAACAATAAACATGCCAGATTCAAAGATAATTTGATCCCAATTAATATTTCAAATTTTACAATAATATTTTAAGTGTTTAATTTACGCATATGTAGACTCTAATCAAACTACTTTTAGAGCTAATGAGTTCTTCTTATTGAGACATTCAACTCAATTATAAATTTATTGATTTTGGGTCTGACTCAATCGAAAAATTATTTGAATCCAAACTGTTGAAAAAAAAAGCCATTTTTTCGGGCCTCGTCTCTCTAACTGGAAAAGATTGTCTCTCTCCTCTTTGGCTGTCTTCGTTGGCTTGGAACCGTGCTTCAGATCTGCCCCATTCTCCTGTATCGTCTTCCATGAGGAGCGAAGAACCTTGCAAGTCATGGATCTCTTCTTCTTTTACATGTTGCAGCTGCAGCCTCTCGTGGACTTAGCAGTGGCCTCGGTTTCTCTGGTATTTATGCTAGGGTTTTTCGCTTTGATGATCTTCATTTTTGGATCCATCGCTTTCTTCAACAACTGCAAGTCCTTCTCCTAGAGCTAGAGGAGATTCCACCTCTCCAAGTCCTTGTCTTTGCAGAGAGAAAGATTGAGCGAAGGCGAATTTGTAAGGCGGTAATCTTAGGTCAGTATGTTTAAATTTCTTTTCTTCTATCTTTGTCGTAAAATTTATTTTCTCTTTTTGTTTGTATAATTTATGGTGTTAATCCAATATGGATAATTGGTTCCTTTGAATTGAATGTTACCTCGTTGCTTGCTAGTTTTGAGTTATTGATTGATGTTTCTTTTCTTCTGTGAAATCCCATCTACTCTTGTTTTGGTGTTAAAGTCTTAATTTTTATTGTTTTGTGCGGATTTAGGTGAA